GCGTGGTCATGATGCGCCGCCGCGTGCAGCTTGCGACTTTGGCTTCGTGATTGGGATTCCCCCTACCTGCGGAGCCGCGCCGCCCCAGGGCCCAGCGCCTGGACCCCCGGCGCGTCTACTCGACGACCAACCCGTTTCCGGAGGAGAACGGGGTGATCCCGTGACCCCGCCGACGTCGACGACGACATCGTGGACGACGCGTTCTACGTTTGCGCGAGGACTGCGACGAGAAGATGGGCATCGGCCCTGGTGGCTCAGCGGTTGCGTCGGCCGACGACCCCAGGGCTACCCCCCGCAGCTCGGCGCCGGCGGCGCCCCCTGAAGGCCACCCTTACACATCTCTGCCACGATGATCGCGAAGAACAAGGGGCCGGCGAGGTGCGCGAGACCAGCCGGGAATTCCTCTCAGATGGCCCTGGAGGAGACGCGCCTCGATTCGGATTTCCAGGGCCCCATGGGCGCGGATGGCGCGGGAGCTGCGGTGATCGACGAAGAGCTGCGCGACGAGCAGCGCGGGGCCACCGACGCGCGCAATCCGAATCCACGCCCCCTGGAACGTTTCGAAACCAGCAGAGGCAGAGGCGTCGTCGTGCGCGACGGCGGCGATAGCGATGTCACGGTATACGTGGCCAGGGAGGATGCCGAAAAGGGGCCCCTGTCACCCGATGCCGAGAAGAAGAAGAAGAAGAGAGAGAGAGAGAGAGAGAGAGAGAGAGAGAGAGAGAGAGAGAGAGAGAGAGAGAGAGAAAACAAAAAGAGGAGAGAGAGAGAGAGAGAGAGAGAGAGAGAGATGAGAAGATGGCGGGCATAAGCCAGAATATCATCGAACGCAAAAGCGAAAAGGCAGATAAGGTACGCCGCGTGGACGACTACAACGAGACCTCGAGGAATACGTCAACCGCCTCGAGCTACCCGAGGAGGTCCCGAGGGAGCCGATGCCATCAAACCCGGTGCCATCTTTCTATCACGTCAAGGCTCACATCGCACCCCTCATGGCGACGACCCAGAACCTCGAGCTGGAAGTTCGTCGTCTGGGCCAGGTGCTCGCCAGCGTGCCCGATGCCGAAGGTGGTTCACTGCGCCGTCGAGAGAGCACTGCGCCGTCGAGAGAGGATCGTTCAGCTCCAGGAGGCGGAAGAGGGTCCCCGAGCTGAAGTTCAACGGGTCAAACTGCAGCGGCGCCTCGACCTGCATCAGGCCAAGACGGCGTTGACCAAGCAGCGCATCGAGGCGGATAACAAATTCGCATGCGCTCCACGTCAGTTCGGGGGACTGGGGCACAAGGCGTTCGACCCAGAGACTGCGAGCCCCGCAGACCACGAGGAGGGGCTGCCGACCTTCATCTACAAGTGCGCGGTGCGTTCGGAGATGCAACGCACCCAGCGTTCCAGAATGAACCAGCTCGCGCAGTCCTCATTAAATTTCCATACCTTGGCCTCTTGGAACCGCTACTTCAAGAGACAGCTGCGGAATCGCCTTTAGAGGATCAAGTGCGTCTTGAACGGCAAGAGAGGCCACGCCAGCACGGTGGCGGACCAGGAGGAGTCAGTGGACGTGCCGATGGGGGTCTGAGAACCGACCAAGACGAACCTAGGCCGTTGGCGGACTCAACCGATGTCCGAGGAGGCTATCCAAGCACACGAGGGATAAGCACCCGAGGCGCCGGCCGAACAGGAAGGCCAAGCGCCAGGCTGAGCAGCTTGAGGAGGTCGAGGACGAGGACGAGGACTCGAACGCGGGCGACGACGGACAGGAATCACCTATTGCGGAGGACGTGGGGCCCCGTGGTGGACAACCTGGCGCATCATCAGGCGACCACATCTACGGCAACAACGCCCCGCGGCAGCACGAGGCGCCCTGCGAAGCCTGCAGCGAGAGGAGGTTTATCGCTGATGGTCTGGCCACAAAGAAGAGGAGAGGAGAAAGTAGTCGTAATGACAAGAAGAGCCCGAGCCGACTCCAGAGACACTAGAGGGCGAAGCTCCACCGGGAGAGGGACCAGGAGACCTGCGACAGGAGTGCAGCGCCCGCGCGTCAACGTCTACCTCGCTGACAATGCCGTCCATGAGACTGCCTGGGAGACGGCCAAGGAGACGGCCAAGGAGATCCCCGAGGAGCACGAGCCACGTGGCCCCCGAGGCCGAAGTACGTCGGGACCGTCGGTGTCTACGTCTTGTTTCCCGACGACGACAGACATGAACATGTCAACGTCCTGGTTGCTCGGATGCGGTCGCCACTCCAGGGGGGCAAGTCGATCGCGCCGATCTGAGCGTTGCTCACGCACGAGACCTGGACTTCGATTGCGCTGCCAGGTACGCGGCAAGTCGGGAGCTTAGCGAAGAAACTGGGCTGCACCTGCACGCCCCTGTGGATGACCTGCGCGCGTGTGTGGGTGTGTGTGTGTGCGTGTGTGTGCGTGTGCGTGCGCGCGTGTGCGCGCGTGTGTGTGTGTGCGCGCGGGGGGGGGGGGCTCGCAAGAACTTCGGGTGCGTCTACTCGGTGCCGCCCGAGGTGCAAGGGTCGCAGTGTCGCTCTCGTATAGAAGTGGTATGTCAGGGTGTTCAGAATTTGGGATTTCCTGCATGGGATCAGTACCGCGCCTGGGTCACCGTGGACGACTTTATTGCACTACCAGACTTGCTCCTTGCATGCCAACAGCCACTGGGCTACATCATGAAGGTGGGGAAGGATAAGACCCTGCAGGCAGATGTGACGAAGGACGAACCATCCGAACTCGAGAGGATCGGACGCTGGCCCACCGACGATGTGGTCTACTACCTGGCACTCAAGAGCCGCGCTCTGCCGCTCGCTCAGACATCGAGCTGCAACGCAGCCTTCAACGACCCGGGTGACCCCACTTCGGAGATGTTGGCCGTGCGCCAACAGTACCCGATACAGCCGACTTCTCGCGTTTAGTTGCAGCTGCTGACTCAAAGGCCACGCGGCATCGCTCAGAGCCCGGTCGGGTCGAGCAACGCGTTCGAGTTCGAAATCGCGCTAGATTGCCTGTAGACCGGAGACAAGACTGGGGACTACGACGCCCTCTACGCTCTACGCGCACTTCCAGGCGTGCGCGGGCACCGAGCTCAATGATCCCTCCGATCCTCACCTGGTGTCAAACTTCTTCGCGACGCCAGTCAGAGATCTGCCTCGCCTGGCACCTGCAGCACTGGCCAAGGTCCTCGGCATGAACTGCAACGACCTTCCAAGTGCCGGTAGAAACTTACGGCACCGCCCCAGGGAAGAGCGGAACGCGGTGGTCGACGGTTGGGGGGGGGCCCGCGAAAGAGGGCGAGAAGGCCATCGAGGACACCATCGACTGGATCAGGATCTTCGGCGAGGCAGGCGGAGGAGGATAAATATCACGCACTGGAGAACCTCTGCGGGTTGGCGAGGTGCAGCGCGACGAGGAGCTCAACAAGAAGGAGGCCCAGATCAAGAACGGCGCCAACTTGGCAGCATTGGCATCTATTTGGAGCAAGAAGGGCTTATTTGAGCTGGTGCCAGGACCTTCGAGTGGTGAAATCGTCTACGGAATTTTCTGCGAAAGGACGTCTCGCCGTACCTCTTGCACTCGCTGCATGGCGCGCGCGTCGTCTGACGTCAGCCCTGAGATGAACCTGTGCTCTTGCATCTTCGAGCTGCGGGGGGATCGCCACCGCCGCGCAGGCTATCCCAAACAGCCCGTCCACAAGCAGTGGCGCCTGACCGAAGGCAGCGTCTATGACAAGGCGTTCGATTAGGGATATCTGGGACAGGGTACAGGCGAGGGAGCAAGTCTTTGGATGGTGCAGGGCCTGGAACCGCATGCTCAGGATGTACCTCGCAGCGATGGCCATCCCGACAGCGTTTCCGAGTGTACACGCGTACTCAGATGAAGCAATCGAGGATTCCGATTTCCAGATTTTCGATGTCAGTCTGGTTCCCAAGGGCGAGAGGTGGTTCCGCAGTGGACCAAGGAGCTGAGTGCGGCAGATCGGTTCTTATAGCGCACTGGCATATCATACGACCACCGTGGAACCGAACCACAGAGTTTCATGAACCAGATGGGGCATGCTACGGACGCAGCGAAGTCGGATGAGTTCATTGTCATCATGGACTTCGAGCCAGACAATATCTTCAATGATCTCTCTTAGAGATGCTCTCGAGTCCTACGTGTTCGCGAAGCTGTGCCATCTGCACGTCACTGAGGCTCTGGTAGTGAGCGGAATGGCTACAGTATCTGTTGAAAGATACGTTTCATCTTCTGAGGCGAGGCGGCGTTTCGTCTGCAAGAAAGGTCGGAGCTGTATTTGCTGAGCCCCTGTCAGCCTCTCCTCCTCCTGCGCCTCTTTCTGTGCTCCGTGGTGCGCCGCCATATCGGCTCATAAGCGTCCTCGAGCTATCATGGCGCGCCGGTGACGGACGCGCCCACGCCTCCGTAAAGAGGGAAGAGAATATGCTCTCTTCTAGCACGGGTCCCCCCCTATTTGTACCTCGTGTCTTTCTGTTTCCATACAGTCATAAACGTACAATCCACATCACGCCCTCACAAACGTTCAACGTGGAGGAGCAAGTTCATATGTACAGACCTGCGCCGTCGGCCGGCCGGCCGGCCGGCCGAGGAATTGGTTTGTGTTGGAGCGCATCCCGGAATATTTGGGCAGAACGACTGTGCACATTGGCAGCCAATCGGACACAAGTATCATGCCAAATAAGCACCGCCGCAAATCGGTTGGGGGACCTTTTTCGATAGGGTCGCACAGCGCCTCTAATGCTGCCCCGAGGGACCTGCTGCTTCGGATGGGCTTAGAATCCAGATGATCCCTTCCAGAGTATTCCGGAACGCTCTCAGAGCGTTCCGGCCTGCTCTGAAAAAGCCGCGGCGCCCATCCTCCAACTCAACCGATTCTCAGAGTTTTCCGATGTACATCGGTCCGATGTTGTCTCGATTCTGCCTTCGCTGTCTTGCTGCCCCCACCGCCGCGCCCGCTGCTGCTCCGAGCGACCCGCTGCCGCAGGTGCAGCAGCTGCCGCAGGTGCAGCAGGCGCAGCAGGTGCAGCAGGTGCCCTGCGACCCGAGGGACAGGCTGAACAGATACCCTTGGCCAGCGGATGTGGCTGCGTGGTGGGGCGGGGCTGGTGCCCGAGGGAACATTTGTATAAGCACAGCTTTTCTGAGGTCCGCGCGGTTTTCTTGGTTCGGCGAGGGCCACCACGAGGCTTCGCAGGCTGGACGAGTTCAGAATGAGGCGCGAAAATGCGAAGATAATCGCGCTTCGCGGAGCGCGAAACGCGAAGCGCATTGCCGTAGATGAGCAGCAAATGGTCGGAGGTCCGCGCGGATTTTTTGGATCGGCGCTGGGCCCCCCCTGGCGGCGCTTCCGGCGCCGCCCTTGGCGCGCCCCGCGCGCAAGGGAGGGGGGCCCAGCGCCGATCCAAGGAATCAGCGCGGAACTCCGAATGTTTTTGCATGTACTGTTTCTCTTCTGTCTTGTCGTGGCGTCTCTTTGTGTCGTTTCGTGTCGGTTTCTTCGTGCCTGTTTGTCTTCTGTCGTGCCATGTCGTGTCGTCGTCCCCGTCGTTGCGTCGTGTCATTTTCCTTGCCCTGGCCACGGAACTCCTCTCGCGTTTGTGGAAAAGTGTGTTGTTCTTCCTCAGGGTGCGAGGGGAGCGCGGTCTCTGTGCGGAACTTGCACTCATCTTCCAGCTCGTGCCCCTCGCAGTACCTAAGATCGTTTGTGTTCCCTCCGAGCGGGCACCGCGTTATTGGCTGACCGACGAGACGCACTGACTACTCACGTGTTGGACCGGCTGGTTGGACTATTGGTCAAATAGTTGGTCCCTTGCCTCGAATACTGATTTTCAGTTTTGCCAGCCGATTTGCAAGATGAGATTCCCAATCGATGGCTCGACGGAGACGCCGAACGATGGCCCACACTTACATCTTACATATGTGTTTCATGCCAGGGCTGTTTCAACACGTATAATCCTTCTTAGCACTTGTACCCAGAAAGCAATGTTGGCTGAGGCCATCTTGGATCCAGAATTGAGGTGCAGGTCGATGATGCACAAAGGCGCGCCCAAAATACATTGCTTTAGGACATCTTGACAGACTCATCCGAGGTCGCATCCTGGTCAGGATTCCGAAGGGAACCCAGCCGTGGCCATTGGGACACCCTAGGGATCCCAGACAGTAGAATAAGCGTGCTGTGTACAACAAGTACATATATTTGCACGTTCGCGTGTACATATCAAACTGCCTGAGGCAAACCCCGCCACAGTGCCTGTGCACAAGCGCAGCAGGAAGTAGTCTGAGTCCATGAGCCGCGAAATGCCGACGACCTGGGCTGAACTGGGACGGTTCATGAATTCGACCTCGTCTTTGTCCGCGCGGTAGGGCGGAGGTCGAGCTCATGCCCCGCTGTAGTTCAGCGAGCAGTCTGAATTGAGGCGGGTTGTGAACTCGACCTCATCTTCGTTCGCGCGGTAGAGAGACAGAGCAGGAAGAGAGTGAAGAGGAGGACGAGAGGGAGAAATTGGGACAAAGAGAAAAAGGCATTTTAGGTGCTCTCTTGGGGTCTCCTGCGAGCATCCTGGGGGCCTTTTTGGTGCCTCTTGGGCCTCTTGAGCGCCTCTTGGGGCCTCTTGGGCCGTTTTCGGGGGCTCTTGGTCCATCTGACCCCTTCGGAGGACGTCTTGGGGGCCTCTCTGGTCTTGGTCCCACTTGGAGCGCTTTAGGGCCGTCTTTGGGCCCTCTTGGAAGGCTCTTGGGCGGTCTTGGGCACCTCTTGGGTCGACACAGGGCCCACTTTCCTCACGGTCTGTCGGCAGGCCTCTTGGACCACCTTGCCTGTCGGAAGCCCAAAAGGGTGAGAACTTCAATGCCGCTTGAAACCGGCTTTCCAGGAGGGCCTTTTGGAGCCTTTTTGCACCACCTTGGAAGCCTTTCGAGCCGTCTTGAGGCCGTTTGGGAGCCTCGTATGCCGTCTTGGGCCATTTTTGGTTGTCTTGGTGTCATCTTGGTTGTCTTGGAAGCCGTCCTGAGAGCCATCTTCGCCGCCTGGGGACCGAAGAGAGCACCAGAAAATACATTATGGGGGGGCTTTGTCTCGGGGTGCGCGGTGCGGGGGGGGTCAGTTTTTGAGCACACTAACAATTCTTAGCCAGCGTGGACCCCAAACGGTGTGTTTCTATAAATTTATGGTATGCGTTCTAGGTGGAGGAATGTATGCGTTGCAATCTGGTGCAATATTTGTTGTGCAGCCTATGTGTTGCAATCGACCTGGTGCAATATATGTGGTGCGTCATGCGTTGTGCAATCTATGTCGTGTAATCTTTGTCGAACAAACTACGAGGCGCAATCTACGTGGTGCAATGCACCCTGCCGAACTTGAGGTTGTCCACTCCAGTGCTCGCGCAGTCATCCCATCCACCCACCAGTAACCTGGTCTGCAAAACCAATGCGGCGGCGATTGCGATGACTGCTTGGAACTGGCTGGCGCATCTCTGCGGCCGCGCTGCCGCTCGCAAGTTCGCGCGCAGAGCGGCCAGCTAGTCTGGCGCGACCGACGCGGCCGTGGTGGCGCTGACCCTTCTCAGCGCGCCTCGCAGGCCGCGCTGACGCGCGGGCACTGCAGTGCGAGTCGGTGAGTCGGGCAGGCACGGTATCATGGCCACGTCGACAAGCGACGACGACGGCAAGGCCAGTGGTAGTACCGATCTTGGTCACGCTGGTGACAATGATGGTGTCCACGCGTCGATGATGAAAGTTGTGGAAAGATTTTGACATGCGCGCGCGGCCGTTGGTCGCGAGTGGCAAGCGCGGTATGATTTTACAGGGGTCGCCCCGCCCCCCTTCCCCCGGCAAGCACACAAGGTCTTTCGATTGATTTCGGCATGCGCGCGCGAGAGGCCCGCTTGGTTATACTTGAGGAACATGTGAAGCACACGTGGTTTTCGTAAAGATTGCCAACGCGCTTGTTGCAAACCGTTGGTTTTAACATGTGTTCGGGAGCCTCGATATAGGATGTACGAAACCTAGCGGTTTTGAAAGATGTCGGTATGCGAGCGCGGAAACGCGCGCGGATGGACTTTGTCATTTTTTGCAAAGGAATTCTGGAAATCTATACTTGTTGATGAAAGAGTGTGCGCGCTTGAAGTTCTTAGTCTTTGCAGCGCGCGGCGGGACGCCAAGCTCCAAAAGAGCAATATTGAAGCTTGCGACGAAAGCTTCAACTTAGCTGCTCGAGCTTGAACTCCAGATCCCGCGTGAGAGCAAACCGTGATTTGGGGAAGGTAAGGGAGGATTCACGCGCACATGCGGGGAAACACCACACGAAAACGTTTGTTGTTCATTGCAGTTGTTTTAAATTGCAGTTCCCTGTTGCGCTACAGTGGCGCTGCTCCAGCTTGAGCTGCAGATCTCGCGTGGGAGCCAAGCGTGGTTTTGGGCGGTTCTGTGAATGTTGAAGCGTACATGTCGGCCACGCGAAACAATTGTGTTTGCATTACAGGTCTTCTGCATTATCGTTATTTGGTTGCGTTACATAGTTTGCCTGTAATGGTGCTGCTCGAGCTTCAGCTTAGGATCCCGCGCGAAAGCCAAGCGTGGCTTTGGGAGAACATGCTACGCCTGGAACGAAGTCAATGATATAAGATGAACCATGAGGCTATGATGCTCCAGTTGATTTTGAGCCAGCTATGACGCCCACTCGTGCCCACCCTGCCCCGTCTTCAGGGACTTCGCATTCTCTAGGCCCTATGGGATGGGCAGACGGGCCGCCACCCCCAGCACTCACGTACGGTGCCAGGTTCGTGGGGATTGGCCCCCCGCGGCCCCTATGATGGGAGCTGCGGAGGGTGTGAGGCCGTATGGCGAACCTCATGGTTAAGGCCGATGATGGTCCTCACCAGTGGTGTTGGGGGGGGAAGAATGCCTGAGAAGGGCAGTGAGGGAAACTAAAAACACAGTCCAAGCCCAAGCACGATAGAACCCACTATCAAAAGGAGCGGGCGGTCCACAGGCGGGGAGTCACGCCGCGCCCGACGCGACTTCGCGGCGTCACGCCCCCGTCGAACACCTCGCTCCTATCCCCCGGGGTAGCTTTTTGAGAGGCAGCACAAGTCCCACGTACGTACACACCCGCACTCGTGCAGCGACGCCCACTCGTACCAGTAGTCCCAGTCGTGGTCGTCGTCGTCGCCGAAGTCGTGGTCCTCGAAGTCCGTTGTCTGTGCTAGGATCGTGGGGATTTGCTCCCGCAGCCCCTATCATGGAAGCTGCGGATGGTGTGAGGTCTCATGGCGGTCCTCATTGGTAAGGCCTATGATGGTCTTCACCCGTGGGGGTGAAATAGGATACCTGAAGAGGGCCGTAAGAGAAACGGCAACCACCGTCCAATCCCAAGCACGAGAGAACCCACTATCAAAAGAGCGGGCGGTCCACAGGCGGGGAGTCACGCCGCGCCCGCTGCCACCTGGCGGCGTCACGCCCCAGTCGAATTCCTCGCTCCTATCTTTCCGGGAAGCCCTTTAAGAGGCGGCACGAATCCCTCGGACGCACCCCCCGCATTCGTGTTGTTGCGTCCACTCGCACTGGTAGTCACAGTCGTGGTCACCATCGCTGCTGAAGTCGTTGGTGTCATGTTGGTTGGGATTTGCCCCCGTTGCCCCTGTGATGGAAGCTGCGGAGGGCGTGAGGCCTCATGGCGGCCCTCACTGGTAAGGCACTGAACGCGAAGTCCTGTGATGGTCCTTCTTCCCAAAACGAACATTTTCTGGTGGCTTCGTATTGGGTGCGAGGTCCCTATGGTCGCCCGTCTGGTTGCCCATGATGGCGGCACTAATCGACTGGCAGGGGACTGAGTCCCGTTGACGGTCCATTTGGGGAAAGTATGCTACGCACGAGAAGATGGATCATTTGGCGATGATGCCTCTTTCGATTTTGAGTTGGCTATGATGATATCTCGTGCCCACCCCGTCTCGTCTTCAGGGACTTCGCATCCCCCTATGCCGGTGGCATGGGCAGACGGGACGCCACCCCGGGCACTCCACGTACGGTGCCAGGTTCGTGCGGATTTACCCCCCGCGGTCTTTATGATGACAGCCGCGGAGGGTGTGAAGCGT